GGCAGCTCATTCCATACACATGCCACCCTCTGCGTGATAAAGCTGCCCCTTAGGTCCCTTTTAAATATTTCCCCTCTCACCTTTTCACCAGGGAATCAGTGGATAATTGTTTGCATGATGGGTCAGAACCCCACAATACAGTGGGTGTTTTTAGGCCTTAATTCCAGAATGTGTTTTTTGAAAATAGGTCTATTTTTGGACTAGATAACCTTATAAACTCAGGTATAAATACAATGTAGGACTGATGGAATGTAACACCTAAAAGGTATCAAAGAAACTCGAAACAGACTGGACTGTGATTTCTTGTAACTACAAAGATAACGAGTGGCTGACGACTCCCTGCTCAGCAGTAAGCCACCCCCCTGTAGAGTATGTCCCACATTGCAGATACATTTTGTGTTCTGCCTTTTGAAGAATACATAAGGACAGGGGTTAAAATGTCAGTTTCATCTCCTTTGAAGCGTGCTAGTGGGATAGAATATTCTTATGTGTACCAACCTGTGTTTGTTAGCGTGCTGTGAAAGTCACAGTCAAAGAACAATCCCCTAATCACCCCTGTCTTGCAAGAAAAGGAACTCTCATTCTGAGTGCTTGAAGTTAGCAAACTAGGAGGCAATTCTTGCCTGCGAGATTAATGATTAGGTGCATCCAGTCTGGAACCAGTAAAAACTGAGGAACCTCATTTGATGTCTGATCATAATATAATGTTCAAGAACCGGTATCCTTGACAAGTTTGCTTCTCCCTGGTTGTAGCTTGTCTATTATTCACTGGACGAACTTGCTAAACTGTCAGAGGACCCTTGTTTAGCATTTCTGACCAAACACCATTGGTGTGATCGCTTACCAACAGTGAGAAATGTGACAACTATTCTATAGTTATACAGACACAATTGGTTCATGATACAATTGTAGTTCATGGTGCAATTGTAAACACCCAAATTATTTATAAATCGAACGACATGCATTTGCAATTCAATTGTAAATTTCACAAGGCAGAATTGAGTAACATTGCACAAAGAAAGATTTGCAATGTCTATAGGGCAAGAGTGGGGACGTGGGACTAATTGAATAGCTCTTTTAAAGAGGTGGCACAGATATAATAGGCTGAAAGACCTCCTTCTACGCTGTAAGGACCTATGATTCTAGTTTTTGATGGTCAGCAAATGCAAGGACAGCAACTGAAATGGCAATTTCTCGACTTTTGCAGCTAGTATCAGTTCAGGCAAGTGTACTCTATTAGAGGTTCAGTACACTCTGCACCCTAATGACATGCTTAGCAGAAGGGGCAAGTGCTAGTTTAGAAGATCACATGCCTGGCCAGAGGTCAAGCTGAACAACAATAACTTATATTCATGTAGCACCTTTAATGCAATAAAACTCCCAAAAAGTGCTTGACAACAATGTTATAAATCAAAATATCATTGGTCCACATAATGGGATATTAAGCCAGATGGCCAACAGCTTGGTCAAGGGCTTAAAAAGTGTCACGATGGAGAAGAAAGAAGTAGCGAGGTGGAAATGTGTGGGCAATAAATTCCAGAGTTGAGGCGACTGAAGCCGCAACCACCAGTGGTGGAATAATCTGAATCGGGGATGTTCAAGAGGCCAGAATTAAAGGAGGGTAGGGATCTCACAGGGTGGTGGGGCTGGATGAAAGACACGGAGGAGCAAGGTTACAGAAGGATTGGAAAGCAACACAATCAGAACTCAAAGGCAAGGGATGAAGCAAAAGCTCAGGGTGATTGGCACTGAAACTGACATCAGAGTATTGTGGGACAACAAGGTGCACGGCTGGATGAACACAGCAGGCCAAGCAGCATCATAGGAGCAGAGAGGCTTGACAATCAAGTTGCTTCTGAATGACCTGCCATGTTTTGTTATTCATATATGACGTTGTTTTGCAACTACCGGTGTGTAAACACATCTCCCCCAGTACTCAGATAACACAGTGTGGAGCTGGAGGAACACAGCAGGCCAGGCAGCATCAGAGGAGCAGGAAGCTGACGTTTTGGGTCGGGACCCTTCTTCAGAAAAAATTTTTCCTGCTCCTCTGATGCTGCCTGGCCTGCTGTGTTTCTCCAGCTCCACACTGTGTTATCTCAGACTCCAGCATCAGCAGTTCTTACTCCCCCAGTACTCAGTTCTCTGCATTTTGTTTTATCCACTTATGGGACATGGGCATCACTTGGCAGGGCTAGTATTTATTGCTCGTCCCTAGTTGCCCCTTGAGAAGGTGGTGGTGAACTGTCTTCTTGAACTGCTGTAGTCCACAATGACCCACAATGCCCTTGTGGGAATTCCAAGTTTTTGACTCAGTGACACAGAAGGAATGGTGGTATATTTCCAAGTCAGGATGGTGAGTGGCTCAGAGGGGAACTTGCAGGAGGTGGTGTTTCCATGTATCTGCTGCCCTTGTCCCTCTCAAGGGAAGCGGTTGTGAGTTTGGAAGGTTCTGTCTCAGGATCTTTGGTGACTTTCTGCAGTGCATCTTGAAGATAGAACATTGGTGGTGGAGGAAGTGGATGTTTGTGGATGTGGTGCTAATCAAGCGGGCTGCTTTGTCCTGGATGGTGTCAAGTTTCTTTAGTATTGTTGGATCTGCACCCATCCAGGCAAATGTGGAATATTCCATCATACTCCTGACTTGCGTCTTTTAGATGAAGAACAGGCTCTGGGGAGTCAGGAGGTGAGTTACTCGCTGCAGTATTCCTAGCCTCTGACATTCTGTTGTAGCCACTCATATATGGTGAGTCCAGTTGAATTTCTTATAAATAGTAACCCCCAGGATGTTATAGTCTCATATAACTCCACTGAATGTCAGGGGGTGGTAGTGAGGTCACCTCTTATTGGAGATGGTCATTGACTGGTATTTGTGTGTTGTGAATGTTACTTACAACTTTTCAGCCCAATCCTGGAATAGATGGATACTCATCTGCAGTGCTGAGGATGTGTTGCATTGCCAGAAGTCTCACTTTTAGGATGAGATATTATATTAAGGCCTAGTCTTCCTTCTCAGATGAGGATTCCATGGCATTATTTCAGTGAGGAGCAAGGGCGTTTTCCATTGCTGCCTGCGCAATTTTTATCCCTTCAACAATAAAACAGTATGGAGTCTGGCCATTTTCACCGTGCAATGCTTGGGAAATGCTGTGCACATATTGGCTGTCATGACTTTGACATTATTTCGTCTCATTGGTTGCAAAGCGCTTGCCTGATTTGAAGCTGTTGAAAGGTGCATTGTCGAATCCCTCCTTCCCAATGTTTCCCTTTGATTTTCCTTTTGCCTCCCAGGGTCTGCATTATTATCCACTGCCCTGCCCTGAGACATTACCTCGTAGGTAATGAGTGCTAAAGTAAATGTAACTCATTGCTTTAATCTCTTTGAGACGGTCAGATAACCATAGTCTCAGTTACAAACACAGTCATACAATCTGTGTAAGTGAGACGTTGCCTCAGACCACAAGACTGTCCTTGTACCATGGGATTACGGTAACGTAATAGTATTTTAAATAATGAAAAATAAAATAATGTGTCCTTCTGGCAGAGTGTCCTTTCACCCCAAGGACCTTTCCTCTTCAATGGCTGTTTCCTCGGTAAAATAATCCTGCTAATGTAACTCAATGAATAAACCAACATTGAAATAATTTAAATAAACTTTGCTTAGATTGTTGTAGTTTTCAGGCTACTCAGTCCATCTGGTCAGCATTGACATTATCTGTTCTGCAATAGGGCTTTGCATTGCCTGCTGTATACATCTTGACTGTCTTTTCCCCTGTCCTTGTTTTTGGGGTTAGGCCATACAATGTTTCACTCTACTCTTTTGAGTACATTTGACAATAAAGCTAATTCAATTCAATTCAATTCTCCACGTGAGCTGCTTAGCCTAATTGCGGCCGTACTTTTGCTCACTCCCAGTAACCTTCAAAATTACTCTTGAGTTTATTTCACAGAGTCATAGAATCCCTACTGTGCAGATAGAGGTCATTTGACCCATCGAGTCTGCACTGACCCTCCGAAAAGCATCCCACCCTATCCCTGTAAATCCACATTTACTACAGTTAACCCATCTAGCCTGCACACTACGGGGAAATTTAGCATGGCCAACCCACCTAACCTGCCCACCTTTAGACTGTGGGAGGAAACCAGAGTACCCAGAGAAAACCCACGCAGGCATTTTATTTAATGCCTTTCAAAACTATTTCAAGGAACGTTGCCAATGCTTGGAGTGCAGTAACTCTTGTGGCATAGTGGGTACTTTCCCTACCTCGAGGCTAGAAGCTATGGATTCAAGTCCCACACCAGGACCTGTTGGCCATGGAAGGTGCTTTTGAAATGTGCTCACGAGGGTTAACTTCCAGATGTCAATCCTTCCGATATGCCTGATAGCAGGCAGTAAGAGCAGGAGCATTTCCTGATCTGCCATCCTACAGAAAGCAATGGCAAGTCACTGAGACACTTCACCAGTAAATGTGGACCAAGCCATCGGAAATCCATGGCCAACCATTGGGAAAGACAGAAAGTCTTATGAAGTGGGTGGTGCAACAGCCAAATTACACAGCAGATAACCCCACCCTGCCAAACCCCACCCCCCCCACCACCAACACACACACACAGACACACACACTCACACAAACACACAGACACACACACGCACACCACAGATACACATAGACACACACGCACACCACAGACACACAGGCACACACACACAAACACAGGCACACACACAAACAGGCACACACACAGACACACACGCACACCACAAACACACACAGACACACACACAAACACATACAGACACACACGTACATACACAGATACACACACGCACACACACATTCACGCACACACAAACACGCACACACACACGTGCTTGCACTACAATATGGTGAACAAACAGGTCATTTGGCATTCATGAATTATTTTCCTGTTCTGTTTTTTGTTCAATTTTAGTTCATCCCTTACCTTTCAGCTTGAAAATTGTTCTCCTTAACTTGCAGAAATTGCAGGACATGTGAGTGAATAATGGGGCCGAGAAGACAATGTGGATTTTGGAAGCTTGCTAAAGCATGGGGCAACAGTCCATCTGTTTCACTTAAGCAGTGAGAGAGAAATAAATGGCAGTGGATTTTGTCAAGGTTCACCTTGAGCAGCTCGGTGATGCAGGACTCACTGCTCTACGGCTGTTCTCGCCTGGAGGACTATCAACCAGGTGAAAGATGCTCTTTGGTCTGCCCAAAACTTGTTGTCTTCCAGTGCAAGGAGTTGTCCTCGACCACGTGTTGCAGACTGGCATATTCAAAGGTCCGGGATTGTGTGCTGAGGGATATACTAAAGCTTGGGGCAGCTACTGCCAAAGTGCAGTGAGGAAAGACCACTGTCTGAGGTCTTACTGCTGAAGTTAAATGGGGGTCTGTTCAATTATCCCGGTGCCTCAAATTTATGTAAATAGAGTCTTGTACAAGTAAGAGATGGCTTTATTAATCTGTTTGTTGGATAGAGTCAAACTCCAATGTTTGTTTGTTTGTATTCTTCATATGCTACTGTATAGAACTGAACTGCTTTAGGGACTATGTCCGTACTTTTTATGAATAAAATATATTTTTGAAATAAAAAAAAGTGAGCAAGAAATAAATGAATAAAAAATAGACGACTAGAGTCAAACCAGGGACATGAAAACGATTGAAAGAAAAAAGATAGAATGAAAAGAGATAGAAAAAGACAGAAAAAATGATTAACAATACTATTATGGCACTCGATACAGTGCCATACAACAACTTTTGAGAAAATTTATAGCTTATGGAATAAACAGACAGCAGCAACATGGATACAAAATTGGTTGAGTGATAGGAAACAAAGAGTAATTGGTTAATGGATATATGTTCAACTCGGGCAAAGTTTGTTGTGGAGTTCCCAGGTGTTGGGTTTCAGGACCATTGCTATTCCTGATTTATGTTAATGATCTAGATTTTGGTGTGCAGGAGACAACTTCCAAGATTGCGGATGATACCAAACTTGGAAGCTTTGTAAATTGTGAGGAGGACAGTGTCAAACAACAAAAGGACATAGACAAGCTGGTGGAATTGGCAGATTGCTGGCGCAGATGATGCAGAGAAGTGTAAGGTGGTATGTTTGGTAGAAAGAACTTGGAGATACAGCATAAAATAAAGAACACTTCCTGAAAGGACACATAGGAGTAGAGAGAACTGGAAATATCTGTGCAGAAGTCACTAAAGGGAGTGGAACAGGTAGAGTGAACATTTAATAAAGCATACAATACCTTTATTAGAATTAGGTTTTATTGTCACATGTACTCAACTACAGAAGTACAGGAAAACAGTGAAAAGTTTACATTATCAGCCCACATGGTGCTATCTTAAGTACAAAGTACTTAGGTACAAATCTCAGATACAAAATAAAGAGATAAAGAAAAAAGGTTTCATTACCTTACAGTTATTCATAGTATGAGTTAAAAAAGTAAGAACTAAGTTAAAAAGATAAACATTAATCAGGCACAGAGTACAAGAGTGAGTAGATTATGCTGAACTTGTATAAGACACAACTTAGACATGCTGAAGTATTGTCTAGTTCTGGACACCACACCATTGGAAGGATGTGAACAAGTGGAGCGAGTGCAGAAGAGATTTATGAGTATGGTTCCAGTGATGAGAAACTTCAGCTGTGAAGATAGACCAGAGAGGTTGGGATCATTCTCCTTGGAGAGGAGAAGACTAAGAGGAGATTTGTTAGAAGTTTTCAAAAACACGAGTGGTCTGGCCATAGTAGATTGGGAGAAACCATTCTCTCTGATAAACGGATCGAGAAGCAGAGGGCATGGCTTGAAGGCCATCTAGAAAAGAAGTGACTGTGATGTGAGAGAAAGATTTTTTACACAGCGAGAAGTTAGGGTCTGACATGAACAGCCTGGAACTGTGGTGAAGGCAGGCTCAATTGAGACATTGAGGAGGAAATTGGATGATTCTTTAATCAAAACAATATTCAGGATTATCGGGGAAAGGGGGAAATGGCACTGAATTATACAACTCATTCAGACATGACAGGCTGAACAGCCTTCTTTTTCATTCCCTTACTTGTGGCTCGCGAGTGTCGCTGGCTGGACCAGCATTTATTGTCCGTCCCTAGTTGCCCTTGAGAAGGTGGTGGTGAGCTGCCTTCTTAAACCGCTGCAGTCCGTGTGCTGTAGGTAGACCCACAATGTCATTAGGGAGGGAATTCCAGGATTTTCACCCAGCAACAGTGAGGGAACAGTGGTACATTTCCAAGTCAGGATGGTGAGGGACTTGGAGGGGAACTTGCAGGTGGTGGTGTTCCCAATGTATCTGCTATTCCTGTCCTTCTAGATGTAAGTGATCATGGGTTTGGAATGTGCTGTCGAAGGAGATCTGAGTGAGTTGCTGCAGTGCATCTTGTAGATAGTACACACTGTTGCTACTGAGCGTCAGTGGTGGAGGGAGTGGATGTTTGTGGATATGGTGCCAATCAAGCGGGCTGCTTTGCTGCTTTGTCCTGGATGGTGTCAAGCTTCTTGAGTGTTGTTAGAGCTGCACTCACCCAGGCAAATGGGGAGTATTCCATCACACTCTTGACTTGTGCCTTGTAGATTTAGACAGGCTTTGGGGAGTCAGGGAGTGAGTTACTCACTGCAGTATTCCTAGCCTCTGACATGCTGTTGTAGCCATTGTACATATATATGGTGAGTCCATTTGAGTTTCTGGTCAATGGTATTGATATTGAGGATGTCGATATTGGAGATTTCAGTGATGGTAACACCATTAAATGTCAAGGGGAGGTAGTGAGGTCATCTCTTCTTGGAGATGGTCATTGCCTGGCATTTGTGTGGCACAAATGTTCCTTGCCACTTGTCAGCCTAAACCTGGATATGGTCCAGATCTTGTTGTATTTGAACATGGACTGCTTCAGCACCTGAGGATGCTCGAATGGTAATGAACATTGTGCAATCACCATGAACATCCCCACTTCTGACCTTATGATGGACAGAAGGTTATTGACAAAGCAGCTGAAGATAGTTGGGCCTCGGATATTCCCTTGATGAACTCCTGCAGAGATGTCCTGGAGCTGAGATGACTGACCTCCCTGTGCACTATCATAATTCTATACACTATGTTTCAAAATGTAAATCAATATCTAACAATGATTTACTACCTGAAAGAATAAAACTCTAAAGTTTAAATTGTTAATTTTCTGGATCAAAAAGTTTTTAAAAAATTCTTTCATGGGATAGAAGCATCACTGGCCAGGTCAGTATTTATTGCCCACCCTGAATTGTCCAGAGGGCTGTTAAGGGTCAATCACATTGCTGTGGGTCTGGAATCAGATATAGGCAAGACCAGGAAAGGATAGCAGTTTTCTTCCCTAAACGAAATTGTTTGGCATAAAGCTCATTCCAAATGTATTTGTGCTATCAGGTACTAATTCTCGCTTCCAGTATTGAGTTTAGTTGGTATTTATTGTTTGAGTGCATAAATTTACTGAAAGTCATGGGACAGTTAGAGTTGAAGGGGTGGCAGTGGGGCAGTGGTAATATCACTGGGCTAGTAATTCAGAGCTACAGCTTAATGCACTGTGTGGTGAACATGGGTTCAAATCTCTAATGTGACAGATGGTGAAATTTAAATTTAATAAAATATCTGGAAGTTAAAGCCAAGCTGTCATTTACTGTAAAGCTAACTGACACAAATTGCCCAGTAGAAGAGATAGGTCATGAACTGCAAATTACCATGTTGATTTACAGTCTGATAATGGGAAGTCATTGTCTTGGCAGTATTATTTGGGCCATTAGGTTAATAGGGACTGTTCAAGCAACAAGTGCTGTCTGTCTCTCATTAATATTCAGACATGGTGTCAAGATGATGTTAGGGAATTCTGTACTCTCTCCTAGTGCAGATTGGATACTTTACTCTAATTCTCACTCAGAAATGTTGTAAGGTTTTCTCTTGCGGTAATGTGTTGAAGAGGACAGTCTTCAATGCCATCTTAAAGCATGCCATCCCATTATTCTGATGGGTGTAAAGTTTGCAAAGAACAAAAGTCTGATATATTCTGCAACCACCCCACCCCCTCCCCTGTGGAATCCATGGACACCATGTGGTCATCCAGCTGTGAGAAAAGCTGATATTTTTATGTTTGTTTAAAGGCCCTCAGAGCGAGCTAAGAGACGGACAAGAGCCGTTTATCAATGAAATTTTTGTAGAATTTATTCCACCAATGTTAATCATCCAGTCTTTTCAAAAGCATCATTGATGAGTAGAAGGGCGGAGTTTCAAATGTCACTTATTTAAAAAAAAAACTGCTTCGGAATATTTCTGATGGAAGTAAAATTAATGTGTATTTCCACTTGTACCCCATTAATTCCTCAAAAGGAAGTATTTGCATGTGTCACGTCTTCATGACGGCCCAAAACTTTTCTTAAAGTCACTGAGCTACTTCTTGAAATGCTGTGATCAAGGATACAAGTCAGTCACTTTACACAATATAAACTCCCACAAATACCAAATGATAATTGGTTTGAGATTTGGGTTCCACTTCTGGGTTTTATTTGGATGTCCCTTTGTGTAGCTAGTGGCTAGGTGTATATATTTTAGTAAAATTTCCTGTACCTTATAGTGACTCGAGTCTGACTCTGGCAGGTTTCTGCAAACAGAAGTATTAGCCACAGAAAACGGTTGAGGCCAAAATATTGACTATTTTCTAGCAAGCATTATGTATAATTTTTAGGGCTAAAGGGATCAAAAGACAGGGGGGGAAAGCGAGAACAGACTGAGTTGGATGATTGGCCAGGATCATATTGATGGAGCAGGCTGGAAGGACTGAATGGCCTACTCCTGTTCCTATTTTTCTATGTTTCTTCTAAGTTCTTAAGGACAGAAAATGCTGGAGAAACTCAGCGATCTGGAGAGAGAAACAGAATCAACATTTTGAGTTCAATATGACTCTTTATTGGAGGATATTTCGTGTCCAATACAATTCTTTAGAGTTTCTGTTAGACTCTATTTATTTCCATTAGAATTAAGTTGTAAATCCCTGTCTGGGACACACTATTGCTGCTTCCTACTCCCATTATGCACACAATGCTGATATAAAGTGTATATTGTTGCGTCCATCACTGCCTCATTGTTCTGTAATATTGTCCTGATGACCTTTTTTAATGGTGTTTGTTGAAGGATACATATTAGACGAGAGTTGTCCCAAACTCATCTTTGAAATAATGGACATGGGACATTTTTAAATTGACCAAACTCATCCTTAATTAAAATGAACTGTGTGGTGGGGAAGGAGGGAACCAGTTAGCAAGGCACTCCACAGCCACAGAAAGGAAAATCAAAATTACTTTTATATGATCAAATCGCACAGTGTTGGAAAAAGGCCACTTGGCCCATATTGGCTGTAGGCTATCCGATCAGATCCACTCAGTCCCCTTTCTCTTTTTCTTCTATGTTATTTTCCTTTCCTAATTCCCTTTTTGAAAGTGGTTTTGGAATCTGCTTCCTGTGGTCTTTCACCCACTGTGTTCCAGTCCATCAGGACTGATGAAACAAATCCTCCTTAATTGTCACCTACG